CCCCCAGGGGGGATGGTCACACTGCAATCCCTTCTCCTCCATTCTCCTCTCAGGATTAAGCCATTGGGTCCGGGACGCAAACCACGGTCGACTACATGGGAGTCCAGCGACATAGCCATTATGCTAACTGCTGGTCCCTCTCTTGTCATTTTTAGAATATTGCGTTTGTGCCGAATTATTAGTTTGGCTATGATGTGCCTTGGAGAGGGCTTTCTTATGCTGTACCTATATGGTGTCCTTTTTATATCTGGAATTTGGAATTCTGTCTGCCTCTGATTTTGGAAAGTTTTCAACTAATACACTAATAAAAAGATTTTTCTAAGCATTTATGCATCTCTTCACCTTCTGAAATACCCATAATGTGAATATTTGGCCATTTAAAGGTATCTAGGATTTCTCAAATATTGTCCTCATTTTTGGTGGCTATTTGTGCATTCTTCTCAGTTGCTTGGACCAAGTTGGACACTTTATCTTCAAAATCAGAGATTCTTTCTTCTATATGATCAAATCTGTTAATACTTTTCAGGGAGATTTTGATTTCCAAGATGATATTCTTTGACTACAGAAACTCTATTGGGTCTCAGAAAAGTCATGACATATTTTTCCATGTTTTTCTATGTAAAAAAACATCATGACTTTTCCGGCAACCCAATATTTGATTCCTTTCCAGAATATCAATCTCTTTATGGAGTTTGTCCTTTAAATCATGAAATGATTTTCTCATCTCCTAAAATTGGTTGTCTGTTTTCTCTTGCATGTCACTAAGTTTAGTTCTGCTGAATATTCTGAATTCTTTTTCTGATATGCCCACAATTTCTTATATTTTGTCCGTGTTTCTTGAGGCTCTGCTGTTATTTTCTGTATATATATTTTCAGTATATATTTCTGTTATATACTGATAAATTCACTTCTCTAAGACTTACAAAGAAAAATTTCTGTGCCCTTTTGTTGGGATAAATGTGGGGAGAGAATTCCTGTAAGACCTCACTGTATTCAGGTGTTCTTGCTTATATATAGCCAAAACTCTCTGGTCCCTAAATAGCTGAGGGCTACACAGAGAAACTGAATTGTGTAGTGGTAGGTACAATTGTGCAACTCGACCGCAACATCTGCTTCTCACACACGCCAAGCTTGGGAAGAGGCTTTGGATGGAGAGGTAGATTCCTTGTAGCCCTCTGTGCCCTCTGCTTTTGGATAGGTGAAGGCTAAAATAGTATCAACACCAGGAAGACAACTCCTCTTACCAGTTCCAAAGGCAGAGGCAGCCACTCCTCACACACCCCAGGCTGGGAAGGAGGTTTTAACGGTGAGGTAGTATCCAGGTGACCCCACTCACCCTCTGTTTGAGTCCTGAAGACCCCAGCAGCCACACCTCACTTCTCTGATTTTTCAAGGTTATTGAGAACCTCCAGTAAATGTTATGGTTTCCTGTTGTTTATAATTGCAACTCTGGAATCAGTTCAGCCTTCAAAGCCAAGTAGTTCATTTTCCATGTATCAGGAAATTTATTTGGCATAGATACTGACTGTTCTTAAGATGATGAGCCAAGCACAAGTTCAGAAACGCTAAGTAAGAGTTAGGCACTGTTGGAATGCTGTGATGGCCTGTTGGAACTTCATAAGCTTTGGGGCAATAGTACTGATTGGACTTGGCACACATGCCAGTCCTCAAGCATAGAAACAAGAAAGAACACAAATAAGGATTTTCTTTTCTAGCTTAACAGTGAAGCCTCAAAGTGTAGGTGCTCTAAGACTCTCCGAGAGAAATTTCAAGGAGATCTATGAAGTCACATTTTCATAATATTAAGATCCTCTTTGGCTTTTTTATTCTCCTCTCACTGGTGTACGGTAGAGTTTTTCAGAGACTTCATGATTTACTATAAGACACTGAACTCAGGGACCAGCAGTTAGGGTAATGGCTATGTCGCTGGATTCCCATGTAGTCGACCGTGATTTGTGTCCCGGACCCGGTGGCTTAAAACTCACGCCGGGCATGTGTGCATGCATGCCCAAGATCCTGAGAGGAGAATGGAGGAGAAGGGATTGTGGTGTGGCCATCCCCCCTGGGGGGTGATTTCTCGCTTTCTGTCTCTCAGTCTCTCTCTGTCTGGCGAGCGCATGTGCCCTATAGCAATAACCTCTCAAAAAAAAAAAAAAGAAAAAAAAAAGAAAAAAAGACACTGAACTCAGATCTGAGAATCCAGTTAACGTTATTGTTGTAACGTTAACAGGAAAGCAAATGTTTAAAATTTCTCTTTTTTAATTTCCAATAGAGTAATATCGAGGCATAACCCACATAATCAAAAGCACTTTAGAATACTCAATATTTTTCAAGCTTATTTATTTTTTTTCTTTGAGTGAGCCAGAGAGAGAGAGAGAACACCCCATAGGGTCCTGGCACCCTGTCTGTCCCCAGCTTGGTCAGCCCTTCTCATGGGCTGACTCATGGGTATGTTTAGGGAGGTTTCTGGTCTGAACCTGGAACCTTCCCAACCGGGTCAATAGCACAGAGCACTATGTTAACACTGTGCCACTGAGCAGCCCCTCAATACTTAAGGAAAAAAAAATACTTTAGGTTTTAGGGTACACGTGCTCACCAGAGAGGAGAGAGCCAGAAGAAGGAAAGTGAGAAATCACTCCCCAGGGAAGATGACCATGCCATAATCCCTTCCCCTCCATTCTCTTCTTGGGATTTTGAGCACACACACAGGGTGTAGTTTTTTCTTTTCTTTCTTTCTTTCTTTTCTTTCTTTCTTTCTTTCTTTCTTGTTCTTTTTTTTTTTAATCATGTGTGTTGAGACACACACACACACACACACACACAGAGAGAGAGAGAGAGAGAGAGAGAGAGAGAGGGATTTGATGCTGCAATCCTCTAGCCTCCATAGGTTTTTGCCATAGGACAGGCACCACCATACCCTGGGGCGTGGTTTTTTTCAAGCTGCTGGTCAGAGGTTCAAACTGCTGTGGGCCATGTGGGAATCCAGCTACCTTAACTACCATGCCACCTGCTGGCCCTCATATTTTTTAAAGTTTCTTTATTTTAAGATGGAAGGAACTCGTACACTTCCGGCCTCTAGCCCATCACTGGAATCTTGGCTGATAATGCAATGGATGACTGCAATTGCTTTTCTGTCTCACAGGCCTCTCTTCCCACAAAGACCATCAGGAAGAGAGTTGCCAATAATTTGTTGAAAGAAGATTATATTTTACATCTTTTCCTACCACTCAGGGCCCTAAGGGATATCTCTGGGGAGTCTCTTGATGGCCAGGGCCAAAGGTCCTTACTGACCTTGTCCTCTTAGGAAGATTTAGGCAGTAGCCATCTTCAGGATTGGTGATATTTGCATGGCGTGTCTGCTCTACGCAGTTAATGAACATGACTCAGATCAGTAACATTTCTTAGAAGCCATTTGGGATGTCTTTCATTTTGGGAGCATATGGATCAGTGCATGTAATAGTCGCTCAAATGGGATTTGGAAAGGAATGAAGGATTTGTTGGGGCAGTTGGGAATGGATTTGCAGGGGCATGCCTGGTGATGGACTTGTTAGGGAACAGAGAATATCGGACAAAAGGACTTCTAACCACTTCCTAGCACTAGGCCACATTCCTACCTCGCCTCCATTGGAGAGGGCAGGCTGTCCCGCCCACGGTGGCGAGCAAATACCCAGGATGGAACTGTCAAGCCAGGGCTCCGGTCCCTGTCGGATTTTCTCCTCTCCACGCGATCGCACACGCCGCCATCCGCACTGGCAGGTAGACACAAGGCAGGCGCGGTCGGGGATCGGCCGGTAGGAAAGGTGTGGAGGAAGGGAGGCGGCAAAAATGTGCGCGGCCAGGAAGCGGGGGATCAGGACTCAGGCGGCTCTAGACCGGTTGGGCGACCTTATGGGAGCCAACTCAGTCTCCCGGGCGAGGTATGGAGCCCGTCCGGGCCGGCGACGCTCGGTCTTCCTCGCTCCTTTCCGTCCTCCCTGCACAAGCCAAACTGGGCTGGTTGCTCCCGGGCAAGCGGGTGTTCCGGGTTTCCCTTTCGATCGCCAAGCCAGGGAGAATGCTGAGACCAGAGACCGGGGAGCCGTGCGCGCGGGCACTGCTGGGGCCAGGTGGGGCCCCCGAGCGCCCGCTGCTGGGGTGGTGCCGGATCCTCCCTCCGGCGATGGAGGCCACCTTACCTCGCTGTCAGGTGTTGGAAAGGATGCCACAGTGTCCCCACTGCCGCTGCCCGCCCCCTCCCCGCTGATCCCCTTCTCCGGTGGGTCTGAACTCCTTGCCCTGGACTCCAGGGGGCGGGCTTGTGAGTTTAATGGGGCAGGGGCGGGGCCCGTCTTTGGGGCGAAGAGGAACCCGGCTAAAGATGGAGGGCTCCCCGCGAAGAAGGGCAGATCAGTGTCCTGGGTTTGGATCTCCGAGAGTGCGAGGTCGCAGGAGCCCGCGCGGGGTCACCAGGGGAGGCCGCGCCCTACTTCCCCTGCGCCCCTTCGCCTCTCACCCTGTCCTTCCTTCCTCGTAGCCCAGCGTGGGGATGCTGTCCTTGCTGCTCTGCGGGGTGTCCGTCGCGCTTCCACTGTTCGTCGGAGCAGGTACGTTCTGCGGGTCCTCTGGTCTCAGGGGCTGCCCTTGTCCACCAGCCTGCCTGTCGCTGGTCGCGAGCTCCCCATTACTCTCTCCCGGGGGCCTGGAATGGGGAAACTGTGAGTTTTATTTCCAAGTGCTTCGATGCTCAGCCCCAAATGGCATCTTTGCGTTTTAAGATGACTCCGGAAAGGAGTTAAGACGGGTTCAGGTGCTTGAATGGGTGTGCTACCTTTTGATATGGTAAAGGCTCTTTAATGACAGAAAGTTCCACCAAAAAACCTAAGGCACTTGGAAGAAATGAACTAGAAAAGGGAGCCGATTTTATTATTATTATTTTTTTTAACCCATCCGTTTCGGGATGAGATAAGTGTCACTGAAGACCGATGTGGAAGAACTGGGTACCGGAGTAAAACGGAAACACGATGGGGAGGCCTCTCGGTCCCTGCAGGGACAGGAGAAATAATGGAAAGGAGGGAGGTCCTTCCACAGGGGAGGTGGTTTGTGATTAGGGAACAGAGCGAATCCTCTCCTCTGGACGCCACTGGAGAAGGTGGTATTACGCTTTCGAATCAGCAAGCTAGTTGCAGGACACTTCCAGATAAAATTTCCAATCAGCTAGAAAATTGAAGAAGCATTTGTTAAAGCCAGTAATGAAGAGGACTAGAATTTTCTTTCATGGTTAATATGTTTTTTTTTTTCTTTCTTTTGATTATTCCTGGTCATTAAAAATAATAGTAATCCCTAATATGCTGCTGGAATACCTTCTGCAGTTCTCATTAAAAACAAGCCTTTTGCTTTTAATTGCACACTTCCTCCAGTAACATTCGGGGAAGTAAATATAACATGGTACAAAGACTTTAGCAAAATCCCAATATCCAAAAACATACAGCTCAGAGTTCACCAGGACCAGACCTGGATTTTGTTCCTTCCCTTGACAGAGAATGATTCAGGACTCTACAAATGTGTTATAAAGTAAGTTAAAATGCTTATGTATTTCTTTTACATATATGTTCTAATATATGGATTGTTTTAGGAAAAATCTTTAACATAGAACCCCACAAGTTGAACTGGGCTGGTTGCTCCCGGGCAAGCGGGTGTTCCGGGTTTCCCACTCCATGAGAATTGCAATGTTTCTAATTGTTACAGATGATTTCTAATGAACAGTTTTAAACATAACAGGCTTATGTCATTGTTGGAAGATAAAATTTTTCCACTGAAATGGTGCCTTGGGACAGACCAGCTCACTATGCACCTTGATACCATCTTATTCTGCCATCTTTTAAGGAAAGTCAACAGTTTTTGTAAAAGATAGTACATCCAGGTAGGAATCAGCCTCCTGGGGACTCTTCATAAGGAATCTGCTTGAGGCAGAGATTTAACAGTCAGTGAGCATGCAGTGTGTTTCAGACCCCGCACAAAGCCCTGCGTTAGGAAGTCATGTAACTGATAGCACACTCCTGACGGGGGACAATTGTGGTTGGTGGAGACTGACCAGCTGTGGTCAGCCGTACTTACCACAACCATGCTCAAGGGCAGCTGTTTACTCAGCACAAACCCACCTTCTGATTTTTTAAAGGAGCCTGGAAATTAGAATATGTGTATGTGCACATTGTTTCAACTTGTAAAGCTGTGTGTGGCCAGCATAAAACACTTCTGTGGACCAGTTCGGCCTTTGACTCACCGTTTTACGACTCCCTCATACTAATGTACATGGCCTTAACAAATTATTAGTCCCTCTGGGACTTGGTTTTCTTATCTGTAAAGTGGAAAGACTGCTGGCCCAATAGAGTTGAAGTGGATACGAACTGAGGTCTTCTGTGCTGTAGTACTTCATTCTCTTGCATTGTTTGCCGGCCCCTTTCTGGGTTCCCGGATAGCTCCTCGCCCACTCTGAGTTGTGCCACATTGCTCATTTCCGTACATCAGACAGACCCAGTGTGCACGAGGACTTAGTGGAAGTGGCCCTTAGCCCCATTTGCTGGCTCTATCCCTCAACTTTAGTCAACAGTGGGACAAGTTGCTGAAGGTTTGCAGCAGTCTACTCTCCTGTTGTAATCTAGGTTGTGAATTATTAAGTAGAGTTGGAGATCATGCATCACATAAATTCATCTGGATATCAGGGCTGAATTTAAAATATTTAAATCTGGGAGCTGTAAAAAAACAAAAAGAAAAAGAATCCTTCATAGAAATTAGAGAAGGAAACTGTCATGCTGTTATGCAAGAAAACGAACATGAATTCTCTCAGATCTTTAATATCCAGAAATGGTAAATAGTCAGTAAACTATATTTTTAATTTTGAAATAATATTAAATTTATATAAAAATTGTAGGCTAGCTGGTGGCACAGTGGTTAAGGCAGCTGGAACACGCATGGCTAGCTGCAAGGTTAAAATCCCGGGCCAGTAATTTGAAAAATGTGCCAGGTGCATGTGCATGCATATCTAAAAATCCCAAGAGAAGAATGGAGAAGGAATTGTGGTGTGACCATCCTCCCTGGGGGGTACTTTCTTACTTTCTCTCTCTCTCTCTCTTTCTCCAGTAAGCACTCTCACCCTATAGCAAAATAAAAATTAAAAAATGCAAGAATAGCATAAAGAACTCCTGTTTACCCTTTACCTAGAGTTCTCATTTTTTTAAAAGTTCATTTTATTCATGATAGTGTATGTGTATACATGAAAAAATTTGCTATTGCCTGCACCAAGAGGCTGGGTATTTCTCATTTTTAAGAACTTTCCCCCACATTTACTTTAAATTTTCTTTCTCTTTCACTTTATCTGTCTCCCTTATATCACAATATTTTTTCCAAAAATAAAATGTTGTTGTATGCTTATGCTCTTTTACAGTTTAATTTTTGTGTACATTTCCTAGTAACAGGAATATGCTACATAGCCACAGTATAGTTACCAAATTCAGGAAATTTATCCGTCATACAATACTTTAATCTAACCTCAGTTTTGCTGTCTTGCCAGTGGTCCCATTGATGACCTTTATTCCTTTTTTCTTGCCTTTTTGGTAGAAGATTCAATTCAGGATCATTCGTTGCATTTGGTTATCATGAATCTTTCTTTCTTTTTTTTGGAGAGGTTTTTGCTAGGGCGTGTGCACTTGCCAGAAAGACAGAGAGAGAGAGAGAGAGACAGAGAGACAGAAAGCGAGAAATCACCCCCCAAGGGGGGGATGGACACGCTGCAATCCCTTCTCCTCCATCCTCCTCTTGGGATCTTGGGCACACATCCACATGTGCCCAGTATGAGTTTAAGCCACTGGGTCTGGGACTCAATCAGAGGTTGACTACATGGGAGTCCAGCGACATAGCCATTCCACTATCTGCTGATCCTGGTTGTTATAAATCTTTAATCTCTTTCCATCTGGAATATTTCCTCAGTTTTTGTTTTCCATGACACTGACATTTTGAAGGGGTACAGGCAGTTATTTTACAATAAAGCCTTCATTTGGGATTGTCAGGTATTTTCATCTTTTTTTTTTTAATTTGATTTATTTTTTTGAAGTGTTTTGCTACAGGATGCATGCACTCACCAGAGAAAGAGAGAGACAATAAGAGGGAAAATGAGAAATCTGGGCAGCCCAAGGAAGATGGCCACACTGCAATCCCTTCTCCTCCATTCTCCTTGGGATTTTGGACATGGGTGCACACATACCCTGCGTGATTTTCAAGCTGCAGAGTCCTGGACTGGATCTGTGGTCAGCCATGTGGCAGGACAGCGTTGTAACCACTCGCCACTGCCCCACCGCACCATCCGCTGATTCCTGGATTGTCAGGTGTTCTTGAGATTAGGGTCAGGCAGCGTCTTCCTGGTTGGAGTGTAGGTAAACACTTAGTGTTCGCTCAGTTCAGAGCAATGCACAGACACATGGCCCCTATTTGCCCCTTGCTGGTAGCACTCATTTTGATTACTTGGTGAAGGTGCTGTCCAGTTTCTCCACTGTGTAACTACCATTTACTCTTCCACAATGAATCATTTGTGGGAGACCTGTTGTTCTGTTTGAGGCAGAGGGTTTGCACAGTACCTTTTAAAATGATTTGAAAAGATTTGAAGATGAGCTGAATTCTTCCATTTTGTGATTAAGCGTTTATGAGGTTGGAACCTGCCATTTTCTTACAGGGACAGAGACAGCTGTTACAGAATACAAGTCAACCTGACTGTTTTTGAGAAGTATTGGTGTGACCCTACCAGAAGGAATCCGCCACATTTATCAGACGAGTACAAACAAATCCTACATGTTGGAAATGACAGTCTGACGTGTCACCTGCACTTCCCAAAGAGCTATATTGTGGATTCGGTAAAGTGGTACAAGGTAAAAATATAATTTTCCTATTGAGTTTTTAAATTTTCTTTTTTAAAATCCACTTTTTTTTTTCTAGGTTGAATTATGGCAGAATTGGTAGAGATTTGTATGCCTGAGATTTGTTACTGAGTAGCTGTTGACAGTGTTACTCTGCTAATTATTATGTTTTAAAATTTACTATGGCTTTGTAATATTTCATTATTTAGATTCACCAACTACCCCCGATTATCTTTATTTCTCAGGCTATCTTCGGATAGTCCTTTCGCTTTTTTTCTGACGTTTATTAATGTGTTTGTTTAAATGGATACCTCTTGTACATGTTCAATAATCACAAATTATAGACATTCACCCCCGGATTTCCCACTCCTGTCTCGTATTTGCTCTGACCACGTGACAGCTTCCCTAGCATGTGGCACCATCATTAGTTCTTTGCATTATTCTTGTATGTTGCTGTACAAGCAAATGCAAACATGTATTCCAGCCCCCCTTTTTTTTTTGAGATTGAACATGAGTATATATGTATGCATGCCCAGAATCCCAAAAGGATGGAGAAATGGAGGAGACAGGGTCGTAGTGTGACTATCCCCCGGGGGGTACTTTCTTACTTTCTCTCTCTCTCTCTCTTTCTCCAGTAAGCACTCTCACCCTATAGCAAAATAAAAATTAAAAAATGCAAGAATAGCATAAAGAACTCCTGTTTACCCTTTACCTAGAGTTCTCATTTTTTTAAAAGTTCATTTTATTCATGATAGTGTATGTGTATACATGAAAAAATTTGCTATTGCCTGCACCAAGAGGCTGGGTATTTCTCATTTTTAAGAACTTTCCCCCACATTTACTTTAAATTTTCTTTCTCTTTCACTTTATCTGTCTCCCTTATATCACAATATTTTTTCCAAAAATAAAATGTTGTTGTATGCTTATGCTCTTTTACAGTTTAATTTTTGTGTACATTTCCTAGTAACAGGAATATGCTACATAACCACAGTATAGTTACCAAATTCAGTAAATTTATCCGTCATACAATACTTTAATCTAACCTCAGTTTTGCTGTCTTGCCAGTGGTCCCATTGATGACCTTTATTCCTTTTTTCTTGCCTTTTTGGTAGAAGATTCAATTCAGGATCATTCGTTGCATTTGGTTATCATGAATCTTTCTTTCTTTTTTTTGGAGAGGTTTTTGCTAGGGCGTGTGCACTTGCCAGAAAGACAGAGAGAGAGAGAGAGAGACAGAGAGACAGAAAGCGAGAAATCACCCCCCAAGGGGGGGATGGACACGCTGCAATCCCTTCTCCTCCATCCTCCTCTTGGGATCTTGGGCACACATCCACATGTGCCCAGTGTGAGTTTAAGCCACTGGGTCTGGGACTCAATCAGAGGTCGACTACATGGGAGTCCAGCGACATAGCCATTCCACTATCTGCTGATCCTGGTTGTTATAAATCTTTAATCTCTTTCCATCTGGAATATTTCCTCAGTTTTTGTTTTCCATGACACTGACATTTTGAAGGGGTACAGGCAGTTATTTTACAATAAAGCCTTCATTTGGGATTGTCAGGTATTTTCATCTTTTTTTTTTTTAATTTGATTTATTTTTTTGAAGTGTTTTGCTACAGGATGCATGCACTCACCAGAGAAAGAGAGAGACAATAAGAGGGAAAATGAGAAATCTGGGCAGCCCAAGGAAGATGGCCACACTGCAATCCCTTCTCCTCCATTCTCCTTGGGATTTTGGACATGTGTGCACACATACCCTGCGTGATTTTCAAGCTGCAGAGTCCTGGACTGGATCTGTGGTCAGCCATGTGGCAGGACAGCGTTGTAACCACTGCACCACCACACCATCCGCTGATTCCTGGATTGTCAGGTGTTCTTGAGATTAGGGTCAGGCAGCGTCTTCCTGGTTGGAGTGTAGGTAAACACTTAGTGTTCGCTCAGTTCAGAGCAATGCACAGACACATGGCCCCTATTTGCCCCTTGCTGGTAGCACTCATTTTGATTACTTGGTGAAGGTGCTGTCCAGTTTCTCCACTGTGTAACTACCATTTACTCTTCCACAATGAATCATTTGTGGGAGACCTGTTGTTCTGTTTGAGGCAGAGGGTTTGCACAGTACCTTTTAAAATGATTTGAAAAGATTTGAAGATGAGCTGAATTCTTCCATTTTGTGATTAAGCGTTTATGAGGTTGGAACCTGCCATTTTCTTACAGGGACAGAGACAGCTGTTACAGAATACAAGTCAACCTGACTGTTTTTGAGAAGTATTGGTGTGACCCTACCAGAAGGAATCCGCCACATTTATCAGACGAGTACAAACAAATCCTACATGTTGGAAATGACAGTCTGACGTGTCACCTGCACTTCCCAAAGAGCTATATTGTGGATTCGGTAAAGTGGTACAAGGTAAAAATATAATTTTCCTATTGAGTTTTTAAATTTTCTTTTTTAAAATCCACTTTTTTTTTTCTAGGTTGAATTATGGCAGAATTGGTAGAGATTTGTATGCCTGAGATTTGTTACTGAGTAGCTGTTGACAGTGTTACTCTGCTAATTATTATGTTTTAAAATTTACTATGGCTTTGTAATATTTCATTATTTAGATTCACCAACTACCCCCGATTATCTTTATTTCTCAGGCTATCTTCGGATAGTCCTTTCGCTTTTTTTCTGACGTTTATTAATGTGTTTGTTTAAATGGATACCTCTTGTACATGTTCAATAATCACAAATTATAGACATTCACCCCCGGATTTCCCACTCCTGTCTCGTATTTGCTCTGACCACGTGACAGCTTCCCTAGCATGTGGCACCATCATTAGTTCTTTGCATTATTCTTATATGTTGCTGTACAAGCAAATGCAAACATGTATTCCAGCCCCCCTTTTTTTTTTGAGATTGTTGTTGTTGATGTTGTTGTTATAGGGCGTGTGCGCTCACCAGAAAGGCAGAGAGCGACAGAGAGACAGAAAGCGAGAAATCACCCCCCAGGGGGAATGGCCACACCACAATCCCTGCTCCTCCATTCTCTTCTCGGGATCTTGGACATGCACACACATGCGCCCAGCGTGAGTTTAAGCCACCAAGTCTGGGACTCGAACTGTGGTCGACTACATGGGAGTCCAGCGACATAGCCATTCCACCAACTGCTGGTCCCAGCCCTTCCTTTTTTATATAATCAGAGAGCCTATGCTCCTCTTTCTCCCCTTTGTGTTTTCACTTTAACATTCTCGTTTCTTCCCTGTACTGGTGTATGTTGGCAAATAAGGGATGAACGCTGGCTTGGAGGAGCACAGGCTCTTTATTTAAGATTGCAATTAGTTTTTCTTAAATACTTGTTAGCATTTGTCAGTCCAACTAACTATTAATAGGTCATGAGTTTTTTTGTTTTTTTGTTTTTTTTAGTTATGGGAAAGTTTTAAAATGTTGATTCCATTTCTTAAATAATATAAATAATATGATAGGATTCTATACATTTCTTATTTTCTCAAGTGAGTTTTGCAAGATTTTGTTTCTAGAAAATCACACATTTTATTAATGGCTTTATATATGCTGGCAAATTGTTTATTCTCCCTTCCTTCTCGCTTGCTATTTATTTATTTATTTATTTATTTATTTATTTATTTATTGGAGAGTTTTTGCCTTAGGGCACACTCACTGGAGAAGGAGAGAGAGAGAGAGACAGAGACAGTGAGAGGGAAAGTGAGAAATCACACCCCAGAAAGCATGGCCATGCTGCAGTGCTTTCTCTATTTTCCTCCCGGGACCTTGGACACATGTGCACACACACACACACACACACACACACACACGCACACACGCCTGTTGTTATTTTCAAGCCATTTGGTCTGGGTCTCAAACCGTGGTTGGTTATGTGGAAGTCCAGCAACATAACTGCTATGCCATCTGCTGGCCCCTATTAGCCTTTCTTATAAATGTCTGCTTCTGCACCCTTACTCCTTGTTATAATATATTTGTTCTTTCTCCTTCCCACTCCTTCCTCCACCTCTCTAAATCTCTCACAAGTGTGTAGAACTGTAGGATCAAATTTAATTGTCTTCCATTTGGGTTTATAGTTCACTTGTATTTTTCCACATTGCTTTGCATCCACCTCTGACTTAAATTGCTATTTGTGTGTGGATCTGAACTCTTGTAGTATTCCATTATTTGTCCTCATTAATTATTATATATTAGTAAGTCTTGTAAGTTTGATGTAAGTCTTCTAGCTTTATCTTTTGTCAAAATGTTGCCTAGACTATTAAAATTCCATTGCACTTACATCATTTTATAATCAACCTATTAATTTTTACAAGAAGATTTATGGAAGCTTGATAGGAATTGCATGAGTTTATAGGTCAGTTTTGATACGTGAAAAAAATAATTTTTCCTTCTCTGTTTTCTTCCTTCAAGATTATTTTATCTTTTGTAATTTTCTAAATTATAAAATCATTGTGTCGGTTTTCACAAAAGGGATAGTTTGGATTTTAATTGTGATTGAGTTTAACTGTTAGTAACATTAGTGAAGATTGATAAACTTGCAATTTGAGCCTTCTGAATAATATACATGGTATATCTATCCTTATATTTGATTTTCTTTAGTTTCTCATAATGTTTTATAATTTTCTACGAGTATAGATATCTTTAGCTAGATTTATTCTTGGGAAATTGGTGTTTTCTAACACTATATCTAATGATATTGTGTTTATATTTTTATATTCTGTTTGTTGCTAGCATATGAACATACAATTTATTTTTGTATATTATTCTTGTACCTAACACATTTATTTGTTTATTCTAATTGATCTAGGTTCTTTTAAATTTTCTGTGTACATAATCATGTCATTTGCAGATTAGTGGTAGTTTTGTCTCTCTCTTTCCTATTACAACTCTTTCATCTTCCTTCTTCTTTATCGTGGTGGCTCGGATCTCCAGTAAACTCCAGAAGTACTACCTCTACAGTATTTCTACTCTACCCCAATGTTATTATCAGTCCAGGACTTCACTCTCTCTC